GGTGATATTTCAGGTTACGGAGGCAATAACCAGTATGCAGGTGCTACTGCTACAGATCCAGTTCTCTACGGAACAGCAACGGATGATAGGAAGGGTGGCATATATGGTCAAACGGACAACAGTGACCAGGGATGGCAAGGCATGACCATTGGTGATAACCAGGGTTTGTACGGCAGGAACGGTGGGAACAATCAGGATTTGTATGATCGAGCAGCTGATAATAATCAAGGCTTGTACGATAGCACAACAGCCCAAGCACCCTTCGGTCAACCATCATCGACATATGGCATCAACCACCATCAAAATCAAGGACGACTCGATTTATACAACCAGCACAATGGCGGTAATTACAGAAACGATCCAATGCTATCGCCAACAACAGGGAGTTACGATCCAGCAAATCCCTACTTCCAGGTTATTTGCGCTTTTATTGTGGACAATCTGATCAGAATGAGCACTTTATTCTGACAGCACCTGAAAAATGTGCGTTTCAGAAGTGATCAAAGTTTATTTCATAGTCAATTCAAGCTCATATTTCCAATCGCAGTGAGATTTCAGCAGTAAATTCCATCATTTTTACACACGAGTGGCTTGTTGCTTGTTTTCATAGATCCATCCAGCAAATAGGTACAGCAGAAGTGTTTCAGACTGTTTCAAGTTGTTCTTTCAGGCTATTGATCAAAAAACTCGGAGTCTTTCACGTGAATGGACGGTGTCATCTGGCACCGTATTCTTCCCATCGCTTTTGCATACCCTCTTGTCGTTGTTGACCTTTTGGATTTTGAACTGAAAAGATAAATTGCAAAAAATTGATTGTATAAAATGATTTCAAGTGTCGTTGAACCTCATCATTGTCAATCTGCTAAAGTTCATCGAAGTTTGATCCCTGTATTATTCCCGAGATCTGAAGATAAACCAATGACATGAATGAAACAATGAAACTTCATCCAACACATTCCAACAAGCCAACTCGATCAAAAACACTTCCTTCCTTAAAATAACCAGCCCAGAAGCATTTCAAAGGTAGCTGCTACGGTTAATTCGAGCTATCGCAATGATAGTGAAGAAATCTATAATCCCAACAGCAATTCGCAATCTATAGGTTGTATCGTAAAGCATTGTTTTTGGGGGAACGAGGTCATTGATGGGGAACAGTCCCCTGACATTTCGTCGGAGTCCCTGCTCCAGCCACTTTGCTCAGCTCAGTGGGATCCCTCGGTCAAAAGTTACACCCTGACGAAGACTATTCTAAACTAGATGAGCACAACCTAAACAACTTATAAACTACTTCTAAACTTATAAACTCAACCACAAGTAACCACGTTACTATGCGTAAAACTTGATGTTAACCCTCCTTTATTCCATTGTCTTGAGTATCGATATCTCATACATCTCATGATGTATTTCGAGTAGGAGACGTCTTGTCAGCAATCAAAAAAAAAGAAATAAACGAAGTAAAACGACAAAAATAAACGAAACAATTACAACACCCCTCCCCAAAACCTTTACGCTGCTTATATAATTCATATCGAAAATGAAAATATTAAAAAATGTCAAAACATACAACACATCATATCACATCGCAACATATAACAACACATCATACAATATATCACATTATCATTACATCACATATACTACAATAACAACGAAAAAAAGATATCAGCACATCAATTCCATAAACTGAACGATTCGTCACCATTAAGGCATCCCAGCCGATTCTATTCAACTTGCTTCCGCAAAATACACCACTGATCCGTAGCAATAAATTTGTTATTTATCTTCAGAAAGAACCATACAAATTATTTTTATAATTCAGGTTCAGTCTGGTTGTGATGCAAATGCTCAACAAAAATTAGAAACTTGTTCACAAGAATTGGTAACAATTGGCGTGCTCGATAGCAGATCATCGAACCCTCTTCAACAAATCGCTTTTGGTGCTCAACACTTAAGTTCTCAACACTCGAATGAGTTCATCCTCAAAATTTGCGCGTAAGAATTCCTCTTTTGCGTTGACATTTTCTCCGTTTCATTGTGACTAGACTCATCTTGAAATATACCTGAAAGTGGCACAACACTTTGAATTTTTTCATCGAAGGTTTAATTTTCAGCGCATACGATCGCTTCAATCAATGTGTTGACAGTGGAAGTAGCGTCAAGCATTTCTGTTATGCACTTCATCCTCTGAAAATACGTTATGGCATTACTGACGCAGCCCTGAATTATATTTGTGGTCAAGGATATAAATGTGCGTTGCTCTTAAAAGCTACACCACCATCAATACGATAGATGCGACTATATTAAGCA